ACTGATAGAAAATTATATCTATTTCTCTTTATTATTAATATTTTAATTCTTTAATATTAATAACATAAAGAACAGAACAAGTATCTCATATAAAATAAAATTTTAGTATACAAAAACAAAATTTTAGTATAATTCTTAGATAATCAAAGTTCTACCATGTATATTTTTCTAAACTTCCTTCATTATTCTTATATCTTGTATATCACACTTGGAGTAACTAATATATAGATATTATGAAATACTTTGAATACTGTCTTCTGTCTTTGAGAGTTAATTAATAATATTCTTTATACACTTTTCTTCTTTGAGGGGCAATCCAGTCCCAAAATTAAGATTATTCCTCGAAACGCGAGTTTCTTACTGGATTCATGGCGATGGAAACTGTTGATACCATCGTCTTACTAAAGTCCTTTGAATAATCTGCAAGAAAGATAGTACAAATATAAATCAATTCATAATACTAGTTCTCCTTCGAACGCGTGCTTCAACAATCCATGTGTTGTACAGCAGCAAGCAGAAAGCTGATAATGGAGGAAGTCAAACAGAGAGAATGATTTATGAATGTGGTTAGCTTAGTATTTCTGTTTTACTGTTATACTAAGATTTTAATAAAAATATAAACAAGATTTAATAGAAATGTTAATAAGTTAACAAGATAAAAATGTTAATAAATACACAACGTTTAGTTAACATAGAAAATTTATGTTAAGTTTAAGTTTAAGTTACAGTTAAAATTAAGTTAAGTTAAGAAAGTGAATAAAAAGATAAAGGATATTTTTGCAATTTAAGAATATTGATATAAATTTAATATAGCTATTTTTTCACTTCTGTTTAAAAAAAAATAAATCTTCTATTATACTATGTATTAGAAATTCTAATAGAAATTACAATTTTTAATTGTAAGTTGTATTTTATAATTTTTGAATTATATTATTTAATAATAACATAAATATAGTTTTATTTATTTCTGCTTCTACGTCATAGTTTAATATTAATACCTCTTGTGTAAAATAAAACTTCAATTTTAATTAAACATTATTATTATATATTATAAATATTTAATTAAAATTGAAGTTATCTTTCATAGAACAGAAATTAACATATATATTGTAGTAATAAAAGTGAATAAAATCATATTTATATTCATAAATATTTATAAAAAATAATTTTCAGTTCAATTAAATATTTATAATAATGATATTTCATTAAAATCCAAACTATCTTTCATACAATAACAATTAATATCAAATTATAATATGACAACAAGAAACTTAAAATTCAACAATTGATATACTACAACAAATAATATACAATAATTATACCTACATACATAATATAATGCTACTTTATTCTCCTATTATTGAATTGAATTTGAAACTTAAGTAAGCAAATACGAGTGTCAACAAAAATGAGAGACGTGGACATGCCCGCGTAACCAAATGCAATCTTAGAAAGCAGCGAATTTGTGCCCTTGACTTACGAAGTGAGCGAAGTGTAGTCGCTTAGCTCGCGTTCGGTCAGAGCTTGGTTACCACGCGACGGTGCTCGAAGTTACCTTGGCCGTAGTCCTGCTGTTGATGACCGGGTGCACTACTGCCATACGGTGATAGACTCGCTCTTATCCGAGAACATCCGATAACACCAGCGTACGCTTGCCTGTATTGCTTGTTCATGATCACGTAAATAATCGGGTTCACGCAGGAGGCAAAGTAGAGGAGCAGGTAGCCCAGAACGTGGAATGCTACAGCAAAACAGTGTTAACACATGGTATTTAGTATTAGGCAAAATAGATAAACAAGTAGCTGTAAGACAATATTAATGTAATTTATCATAATTATGTTACATTATAAATATTAATATCAGATATGTTATGTTGATATTATAATTGCAGACAATAGCATTTAATATTATAATATTAGATAACATAGAGCAGCACTCTATATAGTATAATTATATCATTATTCTATTAATTTAATATAATACAAAGAATTAATATAAACAATAAATAATACAATATAATTAAGAAATGTCATTGATGATATAGAATAATTAACAAATAATTTTGTAATCCAGGATTTAAACTGTTGCTGCAAATCTAAAAATTATACGTGCAATTGTGCCAATGAAAATTTCAAAGCTTTAATTCATAATTGTATCTATAACTTTCACTTTATATATTACCTGGATATCTAACTTCAACATCGGCAACTTTAACAATAGTAATCGGAAGATAACAAGCGACGAAACTAAGGAAAATGGCTAGGACCATTTTTGTGATTCGCCATTCGCTACGCCTCTGTTTGATTTCCCTAGTGTCTCTGCCAGGTGTATGTGGCGATTTTATCGTTGGAGTCGTGTGTTTTCGCATTCTTGTCTCAGATCTATAAATTAAGAGAAATAAATGAGATTATACGGTGAAAGATTTAATTCCATCATTTTTATTAAAAAAACATTTATAGATGCAAGTTATCAGAAAGCAGTTGAATTATAAAATTAACTGTTGCATTATAAATCACATAATTTTGACTACTTATATTGTTACAAAAGAGGAATACAAAAAAAAAATAATCTTTTTCTTTTTTACAATTCATAAAATATAGTTCATAAAAAGATCCCTTAAAATTAAAGAATTAAATATAATTATTGCTTTACTGCTCATAATTATTGTTCCATATTCTAAAATATATATATTTATAATATTCACAGTATTATTAAGGTATTAAAAACATTTTTATATATGATTTTATTTTTAATTTTATTATTATTTTATTTCTAACTAATTTTATTACTCATTAAATTTTTATTTTACTCGTGTAAATCATAGCTGCGCATTACTGCAGTCAATTATTTACCTGTGTACGACCCAGAATATTTTAGTATAACATCCAATGATTATCAAGCAGGGTATCACAAAAGCCACCACGAAGAGAAAAGTTTTCGAAGTGTGACCTCTGCTATCCTTCACGATCGAGCAAGTTTCTAAATTCGGATCGTAATCGATTTTACCTGAAAGATAAAACGTCAAATAAAAGAAAATAAGATACTTTCAATCTTGTTTAAACTATAATGTATTATGTCTTACCCCAAACACCTAAGAGGGTGGGCACTTGCATCCCATAAGAGAACAACCAACAGAATAAAATCATAAATGCAATCCAATACTTTTTGTAAACTTTGCTGTACAAACCGTGGTGAGCTATCATGATGTATCTGAAATAAAAAAAAGTTTATGAAATTTCATCGCAATTCAGCATGGGAAATATTTAATTTAATTTCATAAAATACGGAATTTAATTGCAAAGTAATTAATTATTGAATTACAAGGTAAGAATTGTAGTGTTCAGTGAAGAAGAATGAGAATAACACTTGTCGAAGGAAATTACAAAATATTACTTTCATTGTATGCTTAAAATAATTTATGTGACTAGGGGAGATTTTATAATTAATATATGTATAATGTATTAATATTATTAATAATATATATCAATTAATATAATTAATGTATTATAACCAATATATATATATATATATATGTAAATTATATGAAGACTATACAAGATTATATGTATATGGATCATACCTATTGATAGTAATAGCTGCAACGGAGAGGAGACTCACGCCAACGTTTCCGTACCTCAGGAAAGGCACAAGAATGCATAAAAATCGTACGTTCGCCCAACTTGCATCGATGAATCTGATGGAATCAAATGGTAGTACAAGCAAACAGAATACAAAGTCTGCCACGCAGAGACTGGAATAATTAATAAAATTCAATTTTTACCAATTATACGATCCATTGACAAAGTATCTTTTACTCAGATTATCTTCTTTTCAAATTTTTATATTTCATTCATGAAAAGTGAAATAATATAAAATATAGAAGACAAAATAATATAAATAAATATTAAAATAAATATATATGTGTATATTAGAAATATAGGAAATATTGTATATTAAAATGAAGTATTTAAATATTGTATTTATTTTAATAATTTCTGTATAATTATAACTTTCGTTTCGTGTATATAGTTCATTCATTACTAATCAATACATAATTATAATAATATACATAATTGTTCATCACCATATAAATATTCATTACTAATGAAAAATTAATTTTTATGTTTTTGTATACCTTATGATGAAGGCTGCTGCAACATTACGAACTTTGGGGTATTTGCACAGTGCAATAATGGTCAATAAATTGCCAGCAAGACCAGTGATCATAATTAATATTGCAACCACAGCTGCGAACGTTTGCAGAGGTTTAGGAAATCTGTACAGAAGAGTCAAATAATTAAATCGAAAATTTAAAATTTATTGAAAAGTGTTTTTCTTAATTCAACATCTTTTCACATCTTCATTTCGACAATGTATTTTTCAAGCTTTTTATTTTCAAGTAATCAATGGATTACCATTATTTACTATATCGATAAATTAGGTCGATTTATACTTTATATATTGATTGATGATATCCTGTACATACACGACAAATAATTAAATTTTTTCAAATTAATATGGAAAAAAGGATCTTTTAAGTTTCACTGATAAAAGTCACAGTTACCTCGATACTTCGCCATCGATTAATGCATTTTCTGTACTATTGCCTGAAGCACGTAATATGTGCCATGTGGCCAATTTATCCATTTTAAGATTGATGAATTCCGATTTGTTTCCAGTGATTCATTCAGTTTTGACCACCTCCGAGGCCTGAAAGAAACGACAGTAAAGAAAATGAGATGTGTTTATTTCAAGAAAAGTTTCATTTAAAAGTGCACGTACACTTCCACTCAAAATTCTAGGGCACGTTTCATTTCTAATATTCATCTTGAATCATAAAATTTTTAAATCCTCAGATATCTTCCAGGAAGTTTTTTTAAATTTTAACACACTTCTTATTCTGAATATTTAGTAATTATCACGGACAAAAAAATTGTCACAGAAATGAAGATATTTATTTTGAATGTGAATTTAAAGTTATAATACATGCTCAATTCATATTTGAGTCATCTACAGGTCAAAGTATATTCCGTTTTTTGGATTTTCTTCAATTTCACTACCAGCACGTTTTCATTTATACTTAACTTTTTATATGTAAAATAAATTTCCTTAATAATTAGATGTAACACCAATAAATGATAAAAGTTCTTTTGGCCATGAAATAATAAATAATTTATTTCAGAGACCAATGTGATTATTCCAGAATACACAATAATATTCCAGAATATTAATATAAATTCCATATAAATTCCAGAATATACAATTTGAATAAAAACTATGTCTGTGATAATGCATACTACTAATATTTATTCAAGTGTAAGTTTTAAAAAAAATTTTAATCCATTAAAAATCAAGTAACGATTTAATTCAATATATTATGTATATATATATATATATATAATATATAATTTAATATATTATAATATAATATAAATGCCTTTATAAATTTTTTTAAATTTTCTAATATCATGAAATCTAGGTAAAGATATAATAACGAAAAAAATAAAATTAAACGAATGTACTTTGGAATGTACTTTCACAAGACGAATATTAAAAATAATATAAATTTAATGATATAAATTGATTAAAAATGAATAAGAATGTTGCGCTAACGCAATATAATAATAAAAAACGTTTTTTTTTATCTTTTGCGAAATTAATCAATTTGAAGCGAATAAACAACTCATTTTTAGTAATATTTTTAGAGTAATATCATTTCCCCCAGTGTTGCGTATAAAGCAGAAGCAGATTCATTTCGGCGATTTAAAATTGATTGGTGATTCATCAGAATTTCCCCTCGGAAACGATTTGATCGAACGATTTCTAACGCTATACAGTTGTGAAATCAAATGGAAACTGTTTCATTGGATAGATTCTGAATTGTTTCAAAGCAACTTCCGTTTTGCGTCACCACAGTTTAGGCCGCGGTTTCCTCTTCGTGGGAATTCTCGTTCCCTTTTATAACGCGTAAATTTATAGAATCGTGAGGTAACGACGAAATTCATTTCTCGCATGAATATCCTCTGAAAAAAATAAAAACTAAACGAAACGAATTAAACTATATTAAATTACATTGAATTAAATTTCTCTTTACTATTATTTTATATATATTGTAATATTTTTATTGTATTATATGTATTATATTACGTCACACATGTTATATTTATGAACTATAAATTATTTTCTACTATCATATCAATTATATTTATTAATGATAAATCAACTTTTTCGGTAATTAATATTAAATCAGTGATAAATTATTATCATACTTTGTTATACTTAATAAATAAAGCAAACTTCTATTTAGGGTCTATATTTTTAATTACTTTCGCATAAACATTCCAAATATACTCGCATATAGTTTCCAAAATAATTTATACTTCGTAATAAAAATTGCCGATTTCATTAACGAATTTTGTGAATTTTTATAAAATATGATTGTCTAAAAAAGATTATTAATGTTTCTAATGTATCATAATTTACAGTACAGAATTTAATTTAATATAAAATAAAATTGACGAATGATTTCGAAGTGTGTATGTCTTGATAATATTATTTTTTTTCATTTTTTTTTAAATGAAATATTCCTAAATGCCTAACTAGTGCTAATTGTATCATATACGTTGAAAAATTTTATTATCTCCATAAAAATATATGTTTGCATAATTATCTAGTTATAAAATTGAAGACAAACTGTATACAATATGTGTACAATAAGTATACGCACGTACAATAATATAAATTAATATGTATAAAATAATAATATAAATTAATAATATAAATTAATATGTATAAAATAATAATATAAAATAATAATATAAATTAATATGTATAAAATAATATTGAATTAATATCATTGATATTTCTTATCAACGAATGATGCCCACAATGATGTAATTATAATGTGATGTAGAGTATTATTCTAAATTTAGAATAGTTGTGACAAATAAACTGAGATTCTAAAGTTGTTTTGCAATCATATTATATGACAGGGTGTGGTAGCAATTTTCTATTGTAAGTATTGTAAGTATATATTAATCATAACAGGTGACACATGGAGGAATACATTATTTTTTATAGGGTGAGTGGAAGAGTGTCTTTATCCGATAGAAGTAGGTCATCTGGAAGCTTTACAAAGAACTATATAAGACACTAATTCTAATTAATTTTTTTCATCCTTTCCAAGCGATTATTAATCCCTAACTGGTATCATTAACACATACATTTTATGGCACTGAAAGTCATAAAAGTTTACTCTTTACATTGCTCAATTTCAAAATTTCACTTGTCTGTGAAAATAAATGGAAATTGTGAGATCTCATTCTCAAGAAAAGAGAGTTCAAACGTATTTAATTAAAAATTAATTTAGTGTACTTGATCAAAGTTTCAAATTCATCGTGTTTTCTTTTCAGGATACAAAGCTTCTTCTTGTGAAAAGATTGTATTCTACATATTTGACTCATTTTCACAGGTAAAATAATGTCCTGTCCATTATTGATTCCTAGACCAATCTGAAATCAGAAAGATTCAAATCTAATTGGTAAATTTTCAAATTCAATTTTCTTGGACATGAAACTTCAAGTGAACAAAATTGATTTACTTTACTTTCCATTTACTTTTTCATCCAGCATCATCCCCTTCTTCTGAAGGTTGTACCTTCAATAATGGAACATTACCTATCAAATCTGATATGTCAGTAATTCGCATAACCAACGTACTATGTATCACGTGCAAATACATACTTACAACGATACACCTGTGTAACGTAATGTGATTGACAGGGTGTTTGAAGTAACAGAGATATCGATAAAGAAACTATAAGCTGCGTTCCAGGCTACGCTGGATTTGGTAAACTAGGGTCAAGCTGCGGTGCATTAACCTCGATTGAGCTTAATTAAGAGAAATTAACGGACACCCGGTACTAGGCGGTCCCCTATAACAAAAAACTCGTCAAAACTGATGGAAGGCATGGGAACCAATGGGTGATGTCGCTATTGTTGCCCTATCTTCTCTTTTCGCGCTGAAGCTTCTGAAGTTATCTCTTGCAGTCGATTATATTACATATAACGACGATCCATAAGGACCACAAAAATTATCCCCTTTTTTTTCTAGAAGTAATTTCAATACTTTCAATAGTGTGTTCGATATCTTTATGATAGTTTGTGGATAAATTTATATATCTATACATAAAGTACGTGCAAGAGAATGAGAAATGGAAAAAAAAAAAGAAAAAGAAAGAGAGTAAAATATTTTTCGAGAATATTATTGCATGTATTATTGTATTAAATTAAGTAAAATTTTAATTCTGTTTGTTGAATGGATAATTTATACCACGTGTGCGACTTTGTAATCGAGAAGAGCTAAGAAATAAATTTGCAAGTAAAAATAATGAAGAAAAAAAATTTGTTGCAAAATTTCTTTCACCCGGAACTTCGTTTTCGAGAGAATTCACGAATTATTTACCAGAACATACCAAACAGCTTTGCAATTCTACT